CTCTGACCTCCAAGGAGGTGATACTACCCAAAAGATGCCCAGGTGACATGCCGTTAGCCACAACCTGCCTTCCTCCTATGACAGGGACAGCCAGCCAGCACGCGACGTCAGCCAGGTCCCCGAGCTGTGCAGACACGCTCGCACACTGCTGCCTGGCCTTGCTCGGGCCCCAGGGACGTCCGCTCTTTCTACCAGTTAGGATTCCAGAAGGATGAAAGTCAACTGCTCAGTAGAGAAAAATATCACGACCCCTCGAACAGCATAAATTTTCTACCGAAAACAACAAAAAGCCATTAATTCCACATAGAACACAAAAAGGTTGACATTAGGAAGAAAAAGTTCACTTGGAATTTTTACCTTTTTACGATTTTTAAATGTTTAATAAATCCCAAACCCAGTGACCACTTTAGACGGTTTTCACCGTTTCGACAGCTCCCCGCAGCATAAAAACGGGGGCCGAAGGAACACACAGCAAGCCCTGGGGTCGTCCTTCCGCCTCAGCCTCGGAGTGTAAACGTTCCAGCCGAACGAGCCAAACGGCTCCAAAGGCTCGGCGGTGCTCGGGACAGCCAAGACCTAGGAAGGACGAGCGGGGCGAGCGTGTCCCACACACCGGGGCCCTCGCTGTGAGGCTGGGGTCCGAGGGGGACCAGAGGCAGCAGGCAAGAGCCGGATGTCAAACCGATGGCCTGGACAAGGGCCACCGGGACCTGCCAGGGGAGTGGGGACCCCAAATTCCTGGGAGGAATGTACTGACGTCACACACACATCGTGCACAGTCGAAGTCTAGCTCCTCGGGAAAACCAGCTGTTTGAGACAGAACGTTGTGGGACGTGCGACGGGGCGCTACGGAATCTCGGCGGAATCCTTCGGATGAACGTGGCTCCGGGACTCCGATCTGATCCCCGCGGGCTGAGGCGCTGGTTACACACACGGCAAAAACGATGATAACGCAGCACGGCTCTGACCGCACACACGTTCTCGTGGCCCTCACACCGAGGGCTCTGTGAGTCGGCGACGCCCGACTTCTGGCTATCGTCCTCCACGGCGGCTGAGAAACCCTGACAAAGAACAATCTCACGACGGCGAAATGGCGCCGATTACAAACAGCGGCGTTTCACGGAGCGCGAACAGTGCCATTCTGCCCTTCTCGACGGACTGCTCCTCCCGGTGCCACCAACAGCGCATGTCCCCGGATCCCCACGAGTGCCGGCTTTAAAACACCTGGTACGACAGGTAATTATACTGATGGGTCACAACATGATTCTGTGAAAGAAAACCTACTACTGCCTATGAAAATTCTAAACTTTTTCACTAAATGTATTTATGAGACAAGAAACAGTCCCGTGTAAAAAATAAAAATATAGTACAGGACGAAGGGACACTTCCAATCAGTAGGAAGAGAGAATAGTGAATGAAACAGTCAACGAGACAAGTGGCTAATGGCTGGGGCTAAAAGGTTATCGTAAACATAAATCAATGAGTAAATGATCAAATACAAAACAAAATCATAAAAGCGCTAGGAGAAAATGTGATAATCCTAAAACGAGGACTTCTTAATTCTAAGCATAACATTAAGACCAGGAATCACACAAGCAAAGCTTTACAGATTTAACTACCAAAACGTTTTAAACATTTATGTGGCAAAATAAATAACTTTAAAAGACAAAAAATATATGCAACATGTGCGGCTAAGTACATTAGGTTTAATATTACAAATCAATTTTTAAAAACAGACAACAGGAAAAATGAGCAAAAGAACTGAGCAGGCATTCCCCAACGGCCGGCAGGCACACCCCCACTGGGAAGCGCAGGGCGGAGAGGCACACTCCGCGGCCGTCCCACGAGAGCAGCGTCACCGGGAAACGGAGCGAGCCAAGGACATTATGAGCCTTCGAGAGGTATCAGCAAGTGACTCCAGCAACATGTACAAAGAATGATCCATCCACGACTGAGTGCGAGGTTGGTTTAACATCTGCAAATCAAGTAATAATAGACTACAGGACGAAACCCTCAATGATCATTTCAATAGATGCAGAAGAGCATTTGACAAAATTCTTCCAGGATAAAAACGCTCATTCTGACACAGAACGTCTGTGGCAAACGCCTAACACTTTCCCGTGAGATCGAGAACAAGCTGAGCAGGCCCACGTGCCGCCCCTGCGAGCGCCGACCGCACCCACGCTGGGGGCTCTGGCCCGTGCAGGGGAGGGACAGTGCGACACAAGAAGAAACGGAAATCCCCTAATCCTCCGCCGACAGCGAGGGCCCAGCACGTGTGTCCCTTACAGCTTCCACACTCGTGGGCTCGTCACACACTGGCTTTCAAGCTAATTGTCCACTCAACTTGAGAGTAAGGGTGGCTGCGGATCGCGTTAGGAAGGGCGGTGGTGTCATGCTGCACGTGCAGGTGGCAGCCACCACAAACGCCCCTGGGGCTGACCCTGAACGAAGCTGTCCCAGCGAGCTTCACCCCTCATACAGTCACCAGGCTCTATGCCTGCGACGCTTCCCAGAGACTCTGCTGCTGTCCCTTGTCTTAAGCCGAATCACCCCTACAGTTGCTGGTGACAGGAGCAGCCTGTGAACTCATGACCTAACTGCATCCCGCCCCCCAGCCCAATACCAGTCCAAAGCTGATCATCGCAACATGGCCTGGGAGGGCGCTTCCTCGAGCCAGGCCAGGTCGCAAACCATGGCCACTGGAGCCACTTCCTCTACTCCCCGCCAGCTGAGAATGGGTCTGAGACTTCAAGTGATAGAAATAAAAAGAATGTGCATGAGAGACCCCATGTGACTACACACCTAGCTAGCCCTTTACACAAAGAGTGACACCCCCGCATCTAGCCCACTGATTTTCAAGTCCAAAAACGTCCTGTCAAACACGCAGGACCACATCGGGACCTTCAGGCGTCTTCGAGTCTCCGGTCATTGAACGTGGTCCAGGCCCCGGGGCTGCCTCCTGCTGCGTCATCAGGAGGGGAGCCCCAGAAACGGGCTTGGATGTGCACGCCTCTGCACCCCAGCATGCAGCACACTGGGTGCACGTGTCCTCTGTGACTCTCTGAAGAACGCATCTTAAAATGACGAGGTATGACACGCAGCCCCCGAAGACCGCACCACGCCAGGCGCCACGGGCACCGAGCAGGCCTGGGCCTGGGCCTAGACCATAAAGACGGGGGGGCGGGGGG